TAACACTGTTCCCCCCACCCTGGTGATTCCCTGAGACCCTGCCCCACCACTTTGTGAGCCCACCCAGCCTGTTTCCAGTGGCTTTTCCATACAAATGGCCTGTCTTGACTCTTGCTTCAGACTTTCCTAAAATCTCTCAATCAAACAGCATCTAACTTCAGTGGCCATGGGCAGAGCACAGGCCTTGGCTGACCTTGGTCCGTACCCCCTTGGAGGCCCCCCTGGAGTGCACTTGGTGGACAGCTTCAGACCATATCTAAGCACCACCCAACCACCTTCACAAGCCACACATTTGAGGGGTGAACTCAGCAGGCACCAGAGCCCCAGTGAAACATGTACAGGGGTGGGCCTCTGTACAACTGATCCTCCACAGTGGTCGCAGCCAGTCCTTGCAACTGATGGGCTTTGATGAGGCTGCCAAAATAAGGAGACAAAGAAGTATATTCCAAATGAAAGAAAAGAACAAAAATTCAGAAAAAGAACTAAACAAAGTGGAGACAAGCAATTTACTAGATGCAAAGTTCAAAACACTGGTTATGCCTGGCTGGTGTGGCTCAGTGGTTGAGCATTGAGCTATTAACCAGGAGGTCACAGTTCCATTCCTGGTCAGGGTACATGCCCAGGTTGTGGGCTTGGTCCACAGTAGGAGAGCATGCAGAAGGCAGCCAATCACTGATTCTCTCTCATCATTGTTTCTATCTCTCCCTCTCTGAAATCAATACAAATATATTTTTAAAAACACCACACTGGTAATAAGGATGCTCAATGAACTTAGTGAGAACCTCAACAGCATAAAGAAGGATGTGGAAACCATAAAGAAGAACCATCAGAAATGAAGGATACACTAACTGAAGTAAAGAATAATTTACAGGAACTAAATAGTAGAGTAGATAAAGCCAAGAATCAAATTGGCGATTTGGAGTTTAAGGAAGCAAAAAACAGCTAATCAGAATAGCAGGTTCAAAGAATCCAAAAAAATGAGGATAATGTAAGGAGCCTCTGGGACAACTTAGTGTACCAACATTTGCATCATGGGGGTGACAGAAGGAGAAGAGAGAGAGCAAGAACTTGAAAACCTATTTGAAGAAATAATGACAGAAAACTTCCCCCACCTGGTGAAAGAAA